TATATAATATACATTATTTACACATTATTTATATAGACAATATACCCTATTTACATAAATTCCGCGTTCGAAATTTCAAGCGCGACGATCTCGCGATCTCACCGCGAACGGTCGTCGCGCGGAAGAAGCGCGAATAATCCGAAGGGAACGCGGATTTCAGGGACGAGGCGCCGCAGAGAATTAATTGGCTTCCGTCAGCAAGCTCGCCGACGGTTGATCTTCGAACGGGAAACTTTCACGAACGTTGAATCGACGGGAGCATCGCGTCGCGTCGCGGCGCTCGAAGTTCCCCTGCAAGTTCCTTTTCTTCTTCGCGCGGCAACGGTCGCTAATTAAAGTTGCCGAAGCATCGAGCCGCGAGCGTCGATTTCCAAATCCGGCGTGGAATCAACCGCGCCGCGGAAACGTGTCTAATTGGCGGACGACTAATTGGCGAATTCCTTCGCGAACGATCGCGGACGAAATTTCGGTGACGCGGGCCGATCGCCGATTCGCGATCGCTCGCGAAACGCGAAGCTAAGCCGCGTTTCCAGATAGAAACGCGCCTCCCGGTTTAATAATGACATTACCGGGACACTGTTCTCCGCTTTCAGGGATCCGATAGAGGAGAAATAATAACGACAGCCGACGCATGGTTTGTCGAAGTTGCGTGGTGCAGGGTATCGCGTTACACGGGCGTTTTCTCCGAGGCCCATCGTTCCCTGCGAGCCTCCGCGAAGCTTTCCACGAGGAGAAGCGTGAGTGGAACGCGGTTACGTAATACGGGTCTTGTGGGTGGCCGTTTCGAGTTTCCATTTTTCAACGAGTTTCCGCGAGAGAAAACAATCTGCGACCGATATGTTCGCCGCTAATTCAACGGCGCGGGGACGGGCCGGGGAGACAGCTCCGATCCGACATTGTGGGCTCCGAAGTCCCTGGAGGGGTGAGCCTCTGATGCTGTTCCGGAACTTTCTACTTCGAACCTTTCACCGACTCGGAGACTTTGGGCGTTAGCTTTCAGGAAGGAACTTTGATTTTTGGTGATCGCGACGGAGATGTCAAAGGGGAGGCAGAAGGGAGAGGTAATATATTGGGTTGGCAACTAAGTAATTGCCGATTTCAGTTATAGATGCGCTCTCGCTCCCATTTTTATGATATCCGTAAATGTTATATTATAAAATTGTTATTATTATTATTATTATTATGTTATTTTTTATTATCCGTGAATGTTAGCAACTGGACAAATTGAATGCAGCGGTCAAGGAAAAGCGACCAGAATTGGTCAATCGTCAAGGTTATGTCAAGGTTATGTCAAGGTCATGTCAAGGTCATGTCAAGGTCATGTCAAGGTTATGTCAAGGTTATGTCAAGGTTAAGCGACCAGAAGTGGACAATCGTAAAGGTTATGTCAAGGTCATGTCAAGGTCATGTCAAGGTTATGTCAAGGTTAAGCGACCAGAATTGATCAATCGTAAAGGTTATGTCAAGGTCATGTCAAGGTTATGTCAAGGTTCAGCGACCAGAATTGGTCAATCGTGAAGGTTATGTCAAGGTTAAGCGACCAGAATTGGTCAATCGTAAAGGTGTCATTTTCCAGCAGGACAATGCTAGGCTATGTGAAGGTTATGTCAAGGAACATTTTTGTAAAGGAAGAAGTTGCTTCAAATGATCCGAGGAACCAGCCATTTCCGGAAATGGCAATATTATTTTATATATTTATTATATATACTATTATATATTATATATTTATTCTATTTACTGCATTATATTATTATTACATATTATTACTCAATTCACCCATGACTCACAGCAAACGTTACACAGCCCCATCCAAAAATCAGAATAAACGTCTCATTGTTCCTTTCACAAACCAATACCCAAAACAGCAATTTTTCCATAAATCTAGCGTTAAAATCCTGTAGATCATGAAAAACGCGTTGCAATGTCTCCCGAATCGAAAATGCCCGTCATCCTAGCGAAAAGGACCCGCATAGGTACGAAAGACCCCGAAAACGGCACCTCCGGTAGGAGCCGCGACGCGGCAACGAGAGGGTTCCGCAGGGTGGTTAATAGATGAAAAAATCGTGGGAAGCTTGGTAGGGAGCGCGGTAGAGCAAAGGGTCCGGAGGGGCAAAGAGCGAAGGGCCGAAGGAAGGCAGGCAGGTCGGCGGCGCTCTGCCTCGGAAGCAACGCTCGGTTTCGCGGGCGGAATGGAAGCGGAAATAGCGCCTGCGTAGCGTGGAGCACGCGTACACGTAGTATATAGGAGAGCGGTTGCCGCTCGAGGCGTCACATTGCGTTCTCGAGAGGACAGTCCTTCGTTTTCGCCGAATAGCCAGCCACAGCTGTCCTGCCGGACGCGATCCTGTCCTCAGGATCCTCGCATCGGGAGCAAGTCGACAGGAAAAGCCGCCGATTCTCTCCGTCGCTTCCTCGCTCTCCCTCTCTCTCATCCTCCGCCGCGAGGATCGAAGAAAAGAATCGTTCGGCGGACGAACGTCGAGTTGAATCGAGGAGGATTCGTGGTTCGATCCTGTTCGCGCCACGTCCGAAGGATCAACGAGAGATCGAGAAGAGCTCCAGAGACAGCCGGAGGACACCTCGGCACATCCTCGTTCGCGACTGTTTGATGCTGCGATCTGCTGTTATATAAAAGGACAGACAGAGAGAGGAACGCACGCAGATGGGGAACGGAGTAATTCCCTTAGTGATGGTGGCTATGGTGCCCATCATCGCGGGCACCATCGGGCAACGCGCCCTCGTCAAGCGGAGCGTCAACAGCCTCGACTATCCCGACTACGCGACCAAATACGAGGAGTATCCGGTGAGTAGTAATTCCACGCGTTCTCCGATCGTATTACAGTCACCGTCTCGTGTGCCGAATTTTGGGGGTTTAAGCCGCGTTTCGAATACGTCGGAAGCTGGGTCAATCCGCGGTTTCTGGGATCGCGGGGCGGCGCGACGCGGTCCGAAATCCTCCGACGCTTCGTCCGCGAGCGAGCAGAGATCGAAAGGCGACGAAGGTCGTCGATCGACTATCGTAACGTGATCGTGGTACTTTTGGATTATATTGATAGATTTCGGCGCGATGTATTCGCACAATTGAACGCTTTGTTTGACGCACCCAACGCTCCAACGCGCGCGGGATTTTGACGTCCGACGCTTCGTCCGCGAGCGAATAGAGATCGAAAGGCGACGAAGGTCGTCGATCGACTATCGTAACGTGATCGTGGTACTTTTGGATTATATTGATAGATTTCGGCGCGATGTATTCGCACAATTGAACGCTTTGCTTGGCGCACCCAACGCTCCAACGCGCGCGGGATTTTGATGTCCGACGCTCCGTTCGGGCGCGAACAGAGGTCCAAAGGCGACGAAGGACGTCGATCGATTATCATAACGTGATCGTGGTATTTTTGGGTTAAATTGATAGATTCTAGCGCGATATATTTGCACAATTTAACGCTTTGCTTGGCGCACCCAACGCTCCAACGCGCGCGGGATTTTGATGTCCGACGCTTCGTCCGCGAGCGGATAGAGATCGAAAGGCGACGAAGGTCGTCGATCGACTATTGTAACGTGATCGTGGTACTTTTGGGTTAAATTGATAGATTCTAGCGCGATATATTTGCACAATTTAACGCTTTGCTTGACGCACCCTACGCTCCAACGCGCGCGGGATTTTGATGTCCGACGCCGGTCGGAAGGCTACGAAACGATCTTACTTCATTCTATAGTATAGTAAAGTAAATTACTATTCTATATTCTATATTCTATAGTATAGTAAATTCTTCCTAATTTTTCGTCGATTTGTGAACGATAAGGGATAATTTGGGAAATGGGGGTGCGATTATTCGAGCATCGCGGCTCGTTTTTATAGTTGCCGATTGTCAAGGTTATTTCATTAGGGTTATTTAATTATGTTCAACGGGGTGCAAGGTTTCTGTTTACAAGTAACTTAGGGAGAATTTACTGTATTTTTAATTACAGTAATTTCTTTCCAACTCGCGATCAGATTGCGCATAAAAATTGACAATTTGGGAAGAGGCGGTACGATTATTCGAGCCTCGCGGCTCGTTTTTTATAACTATTAATAATCGGTAACCATAAAGACGAGCCGCAAGAGGCTCGAATAATCGGATCTCCGTTTCCCGAATTGTCCATTTTTTAGTACAATCAAATACATCAATTAGAGAGAATTTACTGTACTATTTAATCGCATCTAGGATTTCACTGAGACAGCATTTAATCAATCATGAAAAATCGTGATTAATTATGGTTATTTCAACAATCTCGAATATTTCTTCGATACAATAGACAACAATTTTATAATCGTTGACAATCGGTGACTATAAAAAAAAGAAGCCGCCAGGCTCGGATAATCGTATCTCCTCCTCCCAAATTCTCCATTTTGTTTGCTGAAGAAAGATTAAAGAAAAATCAAGCCAGCAGAATCATTTCGCGCAAAACCGGATGAAAAAGAACATTTCAACTGTAACGGTTTATTTCTCGTGATTTCTTGTTCTTTGTACGGGCAAACTCGCGCTCGGCAAAATTTAAACGTCCACTTTACAAGAACGCGGTCGTCCTGTCCCAGCGAGAGGAACCATCTCCTCAAATAGAAAGCGGCAAAAAGTTAATCGCGTGGTTTTTGTCAAGAGCGCGACAAAGGCGCGCGCGCGTTCATAATAAACCGGGATTTATGAGAACTCGAAAACGCGAAGGGTGTCGCGGCGTTTGAGGGTCGCCGCAAGTTCCGACGCGTCGCGGATGGAAATTCGAAGGTGACGGGTCATCTCTGGGCTCCGATTCCGCGAACAAAAATATAACAAATCGTATAAAATCGTACGAAATCGTTCGATCGCGACGAGAACCGTCCCGCAACTTCGTTCGCGCTCTTCGATATCTCTGTTGCGAGGGTGCGCTCGCTCGGCAACGGATGGGCGCGCGACGCGGCCGCGATAACGGCCAAGATTTATGAACAGCTGAAACACGGAGGATCTAGTCTCGCTTAGGGGTTCTTCCAAGTTCCATTCAGCCGCCGAGAGACGCACAGGACCTGGATCGAATTACGTGCCGGGCAAACTTGCTCGGTTCCGACTGAACTTGTCCCGCAACTTTCTGTCGCGAGGGAGCCCCGGCGACCCGATCGTTAAATGCAGAAGATTAGGACGCGCGTCCGGCTATAATAGACCGAACGACTGTCGATCCATCGACCAAAGTATAAATTAGTAAGAAAGGTTTGTCCGCGCCGGCAGAATTGACCCGCCGACGCGTCGAAGTTCGAGTCTGTTTCGACTTCCCTTCCGGTTAACCCGCGTCGTAAGATTCCGTGGAACCTCTGAGTACTGCGTTTTAATGATAAAAATTTCTCTTTTGGTCGCGAGTAATACTCGGATACTTTCGTTTACGATCGTCGAATTATTTAAAATTGATTTTTTTACAGGAGAATATGGTTGGTTGAATTTTATGTCGTCGGTCACCGGTGAGCTTTCTTTGGTTTTTCATTTTTGACGACCGCAGCTTGCGACCGAAAAATCTGAAAAAATTCTGTAACACGAGGCTTGATGCCCGAAACAAGGCACATTTTTTTCAAAATTTTGAGAAGTCGCCGAAGGTGGGGAATGGGCGGAAAAGAGCGCAATGTAATTAATCTACCCTAAAACTACCCTCGCGGACAAGTTACAGGGTTGAAATTTTGCATAGATGAGTATTGTTTAAAAATTTTAGAAATTTTAAAAGTCTTCAAGAGCCATTTCGGCCGTTTTAATCGGCTAGGATCTTCGTTCTTAACAAAGTTAATTTCTTCAATGCGTCGCTGTGATCTCTTTCAAATCGTCCTTAATTAATTTGCCCATAGTCAATCATTAGAACTATATATGTCTTATAAATCGTTTTTACATCACGCTCGTGTTTTATATTTTTACGTAAAATCCGTCATTTGCACAAAGCAAAAGAATTCTGCCCGCCGAGATAACGAAAAACGTAACATTAACATAAAATAACGTAATAAATCGTGTGCTATTCTAGAAAACGACGTCTCTCGTTGAGCTGCTTTAATTTTCCATAAAGTTCACAGGTTGTGCATCGGGGAGACTATTTCCGAGGCAAACAGTCTTAAACTGCTTCGTCCAACGCGATCTCTTAATTAACTATTTAGAAATTGCCTCGATCCTGCTCATTGGGTCCTTAAACATTGTTCTCTCGCGTCAAAGGAATCGATAATAGGTTCTCTGACGCATTTCGATAAGAACTGACGATACTCCGTGACGCTTTGATAACAGTTAATTAGAAGTACTCTACGCGGCCACCTTAGGAACGCTATTATTTATCTCGACCATGCTCGTCCATGCTAGAAGTTTTAGTTACGCTTCGGCAACCAGCAATTTCTCCCTAATTCGCGCTCGGATTGCGCGCAAAAGTGAACAATTTGGAAAGAGGAGACGCGATTGTTCAAGCTTTGCATCTCGTTTTCATTCGATATTATTTCATTATTATATTTTATTTTATATTTAATTATTAGTATTTATCTTAACGTATTTAAAATTAATATTAAGTATTAATTATTATAGTATTATTTGGTGTTATTATTAAAGTATTATTTGGTCTAACGTGTTTATTATAATCAGTTTAACGAGATATAGCTCCTCCAATTGCAATTCTCATCCCAAATTGTCCATTTTCGTTCGCAAGCTGAACGAAAAATTTATATTTAATTATTAGTATTTATCTTAACGTATTTAAAATTAATAATATTATAGTATTATTTGGTATTATTATTAAAGCATTATTTAGCCTAACGTGTTTATTATAGTCAGTTTAACGAGGTATAGCTCCTCCAATTGCAATTCTCATCCAAAATTGTCCATTTTCGTTCGCAAGCTGAACGAAAAATTTATATTTAATTATTAGTATTTATCTTAACGTATTTAAAATTAATAATATTATAGTATTATTTGGTATTATTATTAAAGCATTATTTAGCCTAACGTGTTTATTATAGTCAGTTTAACGAGGTATAGCTCCTCCAATTGCAATTCTCATCCAAAATTGTCCATTTTCGTTCGCAAGCTGAACGAAAAATTTATATTTAATTATTAGTATTTATCTTAACGTATTTAAAATTAATAATATTATAGTATTATTTGGTATTATTATTAAAGCATTATTTAGCCTAACGTGTTTATTATAGTCAGTTTAACGAGGTATAGCTCCTCCAATTGCAATTCTCATCCAAAATTGTCCATTTTCGTTCGCAAGCTGAACGAAAAATTTATATTTAATTATTAGTATTTATTTTAATGTATTCAAAATTAATAATGAGTATTAATTATTATAGTATTATTTGGTATTATTATTAAAGTATTATTTAGCCTAACGTATTTATTATAGTCAGTTTACCGAGGTATAGCTCCTCCAGTTTCAATTCTCATCCCAAATTGTCCATTTTCGTTTCAAAGCTGAATGGGAAATTCATATTTAATTATTAGTATTTATTTTAACGTATTTAAAGTTAATATACTATTATTTGGTATTATTATTAAAGTATTATTTAGCCTAACGTATTTATTATAGTCAGTTTACCGAGGTATAGCTCCTCCAGTTTCAATTCTCATCCCAAATTGTCCATTTTCGTTTCAAAGCTGAATGGGAAATTCATATTTAATTATTAGTATTTATTTTAACGTATTTAAAGTTAATATACTATTATTTGGTATTATTATTAAAGTATTATTTAGCCTAACGTATTTATTATAGTCAGCGTAACAGAGGTACAGCTTGCAGGTTTACAGGTTTGCAAGCTGAACGGACAATTCGAGAGAA